TGGTTGGCCCCATTGGGCCGCTCGGCCTGGCGCCGACGGCCCCGTGGAACAGCCGCGCCGCCGTCGCCCGCCGACGCGCGCGCGCAGGGCCAGCGCGAACTCGTCGGCCAGGACGAAGCCCGCGCAAACAAGCGCCGCGCGCTGGTCGGCGTTCGGCCGAGTGCGGCAGCCGCGCCGCGTTCGGCCGCTCGCGCTCGCGGCGCATCGGCGGCGGCAGCGCGTCGCAAACGCGGCGCGCGCAGCCGCGCTGCCCCCGATCGCGCCCGCGCCTGGCAGCGCTGTGCCCGGCGCCGCTGGGCCGTCGCAAGTCGGCTCGCGCTGTGGCGGGTCATCCCGCGACGCGGCGGGGGCAGCGTCGCCGTCGGCAGCGCGCGCCGCATCGCCCATGCGGCGCCGCCCCGAAGAGGCTGGCCACGCGATCGCTGGGCGGCGGTGAGATGACAGCTGCAGCGCGCGCCGCGCGGCCGCAGCGTGCTGGAGCGTCGCGTCGGCTCGCATTGGCAGCGCGCGTCGCCGACCGCGCGGGCGCGCGTCGCCGCCGCGGGCGGGGCTTGGCGCGGCGGGGCGCCCAACTGTGCATCGCATTGCGCGTGGGCAGCGCCGCAGCTGGCCGCTGCGCGAGCGGCCGCTCCGCGCGCGGCGCCCAGAAGGGGCCGGGGGCCTGCGGCGGACCGGCGCCGCGTCGGCCGCGGGCGTATCGCACAGGGCGAATCGGGAAACACAATTTTCCAAATCGTCTCGCCGCGGGTCGACGGGGGGAATTTTCTTTACTGCGGAGGATTTTTTTGACTATGCAGGAAAATCGGGTCGGCCAGGGGCGTCTCGCGCGGTTCGACCGCGGCGGGCCCACCCGCCCAAACCGTGCCGCGCGGCTCGGCGCTGCCTGTTGCGCGCTGGCTTCGGGGTGCGCCGCCCGATCGCGCGGGCGGCGTCGGCCTGGCGGCCCCGCGTTCGCCCGTCCGCCAGCCCGCGCTGGCGCTCCGTGGGCCGGCGCTTGCTCCTTGGCGCGCTGCATGTCGCACAGGGGCACGAACAATTTTCAATTGTTCGCAATGTCACCCCTCCTCAGCCCACCCCCCACCCCCGCTCCTGCGCGCGATTGCAAAGTCCAATTGCAAGTGCAGGGAGTCGGCCATGGCCGCGCCCCCGCGGCGCCGATGCGATGGGCCTCGGGGCGGCGCGTCGATCGCGTCGCGTTGCTTCCGATCGCAGCGCGGCAGCGCGCGCCGATTGCGCAGCCCGCCCAAACGTCGCGCGCGCGTGGGCGCTCGGGCGAGCGGAGCAGCCGCGCGCGGGCAGCGTTCCCGCGCCAGCGCGGTGACATTTCGCATGCCCGCGCGGCGCGATTGGGATCGCGGGTCGGTCGGCGCTGCAGGGCGCTGGCGTTCGGCCGCCACGTCGGCGCGGCGCGTCGTCGCGCGCGCGGTCGAGCCGCGCGCTGCGAACCGACGCCCGCCGACAGGCCCGCGGGTGCCCGACCGCCTCGCGACCCCTCTCTCGGGCAGCAATGCCGCTCCTGCGCCTGGGCGCCAGCAATTTTCAGACGAGCTGGGGGGTGCCCGTTGGGATTGGCGCAGCGACGCGCGCCTTGCCGTGCGGTCGGGCAAGCGCCGCGGGCGCGCGTCTCTGAACCGAATTGCTGCAATCCGCGCGGTGCTATGACAGAGTCGTCTCCGACCACCCCCCCCTCGCGGGCCTTGCGCGCGATCGCGCGCCCCAGATCGAGTCCTCCGAAGTTGCAGCCATGCGCCGATCAGTCGAACGCGCGGCGGGGTGGCAACTGCGCGCCGTGTAAGCATTCGCTCGAACCGCCAGCGCAGTGCAGTTTAATTTCGACCACCCGCTTTGCATCGGCTGTGCGCGCGTCCAGCCGCGCCGCCGCCGCTCATCCTGGAAGTTGTAGCAGATGCCCCCCCTGCCCTTGGCTAGCAAGTTAGAGGTGGAGCGTCTGTGGATGTTCTTTCATAAGGCAGTGCTGGCACTGAGGGGCTCCTGCTTCTTTTTGAGGCAACTGGGCTCGGGCGTCGGTCTGGTGCGCGCGGGCATTGACGTCGTCGCCGTCGTTGACGGCGGCGGTGCCGATGTCGGTCTTGACGCCGACGTCATCAGCATTGCTGCCGCCATGGCCGTCATCGTCATCGTCGCCGCTGCAAGGGGCGCCATCGCGCATCTCGCCCGCCTGGGTCGCCGACCCGCGCCTGAGTGCCCGCGCGCCAGCGCGGCCCCCGATGCGCGCGCGGAAGTCTTCGCGGCAAGCGGCCATCGCGGCTGCAGCAGCACTGCCGCGCCAGCAGGCGCAGTCGAATGAGTTTTGCTCACCACGTGGCGGGTGAATGGGTGTGATGTTTGCGCGAGCATGGGGGGGTGGTCGCGCGCGAGGGAACCGATGTCGAAATCGCGACGTAGTCTGCACCACATTGCTTGCGCGACATTGGTTCTCCTTTCTAAGAAGAGAATAGATTCTACCCCCGGCGTTATCGCCCCCCCCTTTCGGGTATGTAAATCATATATGAGTCTGACCACATGTCCACCCTAAATTTGAAGTTGCGCTATCCCACGAGGGCTGGGATCGGCCCCCTGAGGTTCCCTGGTAAAAAAACGGTACGCGGGGACATCTTTTGTTCTAGCATATGACTTTTTTTCCGCGAATCCCTTGGAACAAATGGGACGAAGTGCACACGCGCGCGCCGTCGCGCGCGCATGCCGAAATCCTTCAGAAACCTTCGGTGCCGGAAGGACTTCGCAATCGAGTTTCCAACGAACATACAAAACACAGGGTTTCGCAACACTGATTTGCTAAAAAAGCTTACGCGCGAGCTCTTGCGAAATCTCAAGAAAACCATATGTTTTTGTTTTTTCTCAAGATTTTCACCACATGGTACCAGACGGGCTTCGCGCGCGCGCATGTCGAAGTCTGTCGAACGCCCTTGCGCGTGTGCCGTCGCGAGAATCCTCTGCAACAAATGGGACGAAGTGCAGACGCGCGCGTCGTCGCGCGCGTATGCCGAAATCCGATATGCCGGGTGACCGGTTGTGCACAATCAATAAGAAAGCGCGATGGGCGGAGGGGATCTGATAAGCCCAGTCTTCGCATGAGGGTCGTTCGGGCGGGGCTAGGAAAGGGATGCATCGTTCCAGAGCGTTCCAGAACGCTCTCAGAGCGTCCCAGAACGCTGAGGAGGCCGCGGCGGCCGATGCGCCCTCCAGGACTGCAGATCTCAGAGATTCCCGATCCATCCTTGTCCGATGTTGTCTCCATCCCGGCGAAGCTCTTCGTGCAGCGAGCGCCCTCCCGCTGCCACCCGGCTCCCGCGGCCGCCCTGCGCCTCCTCCTCCTCCCTTTCCACCTCCTCCTCCACTTCCACCTCCTCCTCCTCCACGTCCACCTCCTCCTCCTCCTCCTCCTCCTCCTCCTCCTCCTCCTCCTCCTCCTCCTCCTCCTCCTCCTCCTCCTCCTCCTCCTCCTCCTCCTCCTCCTCCTCCTCCTCCTCCTCCTCCTCCTCCTCCCCCTCCACCTCCTCCTCCTCCCTCCCCTCGTACAGCCGGGCAACCAGTTGGCCCGCTCCCGACCAGCTGGAGCTCGCGTGCGGGTCGCCTCTGCCGCGCTGCGACGCAGAAGTGTCTGCCAAATGTCGGGAACTGGGACATATACAGTGCCAGTGGCGGGCTGTTTCTCAGTCCCAGGAGTTCTTGAGGGTTGGGGACGACGTCGGGGCTGTGTGGTGTATACTTTTGGTTCCGTTTCCCAGGGACCAGCGACAAATGCATGCACCAGGGTCCCGTATACACCAGGATCCGCCTTCCTGTGCGAATTTCGGTGCAGGGCCGGAACAAACGTCGGTGTGTAGAGTTCGGTTCTCTACAATGTGTGTGTGTCTACAATGTGTGTGTGCGTGTGTGTGTGTGTGTGTGTGTGTGTGTGTGTGTGTGTGTGTGTGTGTGTGTGTGTGTGTGTGTGTGTGTGTGTGTGTGCGTGCGTGCGTGTGTGTGTGTGTGTGTGTGTGTGTGTGTGTGTGTGTGTGCGTGCGTGTGTGTGTGTGTGTGTGTGTGTGTGTGTGTGTGTGTGCTAGCCCCGTGCAGCTCCCCAGTAGGTTGCATCGGCCCTCGCTGCGCCGCCGCCTGCGTCGTTTCGAAGGGCCTCGGTGGACAAACGCACGCGGGTGCCAGCACGCGTTCTGAGGATCATCGACAGAGAGCCCAGCCAACGAGCGGGGTGCCCAGCAAGGCGGCTTCGGGCGCCCACCAGGCTGGAGCCCAGCGAATTACTCTATCGTGCTTGCCAGAGTGGACTCCAAACAATGGTTTATTGCACCCGCTGCGCACCCTGTGTGGTGCAACATTTATGATGTCATCTCTGTGGTGCAGACAGTGGTGCAATCTTCGTTTGGGAAACAGTGTGTGCAGGCTACGTGGTGCAATACGATGAGTACCAGCTTTGCGAATCAGTACATGCAGTGCATCCGATAGCGTACAATCTACGTGGTGCATTCGATGGGATGCAATCTATGTGGTGAAATATATTCAAGAGGCTTACACAATTCCGCCAATCCCCACGATAGGATATGTGTGGCCTCCGATTTCGTGTGTGGTGGCTGTCGCTTCCCATCGTGCTGCCTGCATATAGTAATTTCTGATTCGTCCTCTTCCTCCGCATCTGTCGTGGGACTTCTTGAAGCCTTTGCAGGGCTTTTGGTCGGGGGGTTTTAGGGGGCACTCTTGGAGCTTCTTGGCGGCCTCCAGGGGACCTCCTGGGGGCATATTACACTGGGACTCCGAGTCGCGGTCTCTCGTCCTGGCCGTTCGCGACGGACAGGCGAGGCAGAGCGGACGACATTCATTACGCATTTGCATTCGGGTGCGGTTTCCCGCTGTAGCTTCGCGACAATGAGACAGAGAGAAAGACAGAGAGGTAGCGAGTGTACTGTACCTTACTCATCCCCTTACCATCTCGCCCCTCCTTTTCGCTTCCGTTTCCATCCGTGCAGCAGACCTCCCCCAAGGAAAAGGCGAAGAAGGCCGCGGAGCAGGCTGCCAAGACCGAGGCAGCGGGCGAGAAGCCGAAGAAGGAGAACATGGAGGATCTCGACCCGAGCAAGTACAGGGAGAACAGGATGGCTGCGATGAAGGCGTCGCCGGACCCGTACCCGCACAAATGGGACGTGAATGCTTCCATCCCCGCCCTGATCGAGAGGTACAGCGGCTTGGCCGCGGAGGAGAAGAAAGAGGACGTCATCGTTTCCATCGGCGGGCGCGTGAAGAACAAACGAGAGTCTGGAGCGAAACTGATCTTTTATACCCTCTTTGCCGATGGAAGAAAGATCCAGGTGATGTGCCAGGCACAGTACCACGTGGGCGATAAATCTTTTGAGGAGACCCACAGAGGGATCAATCGGGGCGACATCATCGGTTGCAAAGGCTGCATAGGAAAGTCGAAGACCGGAGAGCTGTCAGTCTTCCCCAGCGAAGTAAAGCTTCTGTCAATGTGCATGCACATGCTTCCGAAGGATCACCAAGGCCTGAAAGATCAAGAGGTCAGGTATCGCAAGCGGTATTTGGACCTCATGATGAACGAGGACGTACGGAACACCTTTTACACAAGGTCCAAGATAGTCAACTTCATACGGCACTATCTCGACTCTCGTGGCTTCCTTGAGGTTGAGACACCCATGATGAACATGATCGCCGGAGGAGCCACGGCCAAGCCTTTTATCACTCACCACAACGACCTAAATCTTGACCTCTTCATGCGAGTCGCGCCCGAGCTCTATCTCAAGATGTGTGTAGTAGGTGGCCTGGATCGTGTCTACGAGATTGGCCGCAATTTCCGCAACGAGGGTATCGACATGACACACAATCCAGAGTTTACGGCATGCGAGTTCTACATGGCGTACGCTGACTACAACGATTTGATGGACATGACAGAGGAGTTATTTAGCGCCATGGTCTTGAACATCAAGGGGAGTTACAAGTTTCAGTTCCACCCCGATGGTCCTGACGGCGAGGCAATAGAGATCGATTTCACGCCCCCTTGGCCGCGTATCCCGATGGTGGAGGAGATCGAGAAGAAGTCTGGTATAAAGATCAATCGTGACTTCGATTCCCCTGAAGCTGTCAAGGTTCTGGACGACTTGGTGACGAAGCTCGAGCTTGAATGCCCTCCGCCGAGGTCGGCCGCGAGGCTGCTGGACAAGCTGTGCGGACACTACATCGAGGACAACATCGTGAGTCCAGCATTCATCACTGAGCATCCTCAGATCATGAGTCCCTTGGCGAAGTGGCATCGCAGCAAGCCGGGTGTGACGGAGCGCTTCGAGATGTTTGTGAACACCAAGGAGATTTGCAACGCCTACACGGAGCTGAACGATCCTGTGAGGCAGCTGGCTTGCTTCACCGGACAGGCGTCGCAGAAGGACTGGGGGCTGCAACGAGTGATACTTCCTGGATACTCCTCATCGCAACCCGAGGCTACCATACAAATCCCAAAGTGGCAAACGACAGATGCCCAAGTAATGCCAACTTTGATTTCACCATGGCGAGGAGGCTGGAGAGCCTGGGCGCGGAGACACGATATGTGCACACATATTCGTAATACGTACGTCTGTCTGCATATGTGCATGCACAGATATATGCGCATATGTGCATGGACATACATCTGCATACACATAGACGTGTGTACATGCAGATCGGCATAGGACGGTAGCACGCATCCACATCTGCGCATATGTGTACACATACGCCATTTTGCTATATACGTATGTATCGCGCTACACGTACACATCTTCATGTTTTCTGGATCATTTTTTCCCAACCATCCTGTGGTGTTGGGTCCTCGTTTTGAAGAGACGGTGGCCCGCGTCTCCTCTCCTCCTCTCCTCCTCCTCCTCCTCCTCCTCCCTCCTCCCTGCGTTTCACCCACCCAGTGCATCGTTTCGTGGCCCCATAGGGAGCTCCCCCGAAGGCCCCCAGTGGCAGGGTTCGCATGGCGGCCTCGGGCCATTTCGGCACACCCCTCACGAGGATCGTGGCCCCATAGGGAGCTCCACCGAAGGCTCCAGTGGCAGGGTTCGCATGGCGGCCTCGGGCCATTTCGGCACACCCCTCACGAGGATCGTGGCCCCATAGGGAGCTCCACCGAAGGCGCCAGTAGTGGCAGGGTTCGCATGGCGGCCTCGGGCCATTTCGGCACACCCCTCACGAGGATCGTGGCCCCATAGGGAGCTCCACCGAAGGCCCCAGTGGCAGGGTTCGCATGGCGGCCTCGGGCCATTTCGGTACACCACTCACGAGGATCGTGGCCCCATAGGGAGCTCCACCGAAGGCCCCCAGTGGCAGGGTTCGCATGGCGGCCTCGGGCCATTTCGGCACACACCTCTTGAGGATCGTGGCCCCATAGGGAGCTCCCCCGAAGGCCCCCAGTGGCAGGGTTCGCATGGCGGCCTCGGGCCATTTCGGCACACCCCTCACGAGGATCGTGGCCCCATAGGGAGCTCCACCGAAGGCGCCAGTGGCAGGGTTCGCATGGCGGCCTCGGGCCATTTCGGCACACCCCTCTCGAGGATCGTGGCCCCATAGGGAGCTCCACCGAAGGCGCCAGTGGCAGGGTTCGCATGGCGGCCTTGGGCCATTTCGGCACACCCCTCACGAGGATCGTGGCCCCAAAGGGAGCTCCACCGAAGGCGCCAGTGGCAGGGTTCGCATGGCGGCCCCGGGCCATTGCGGCACATCCCTCATGAGGATCGTGGCCCCATACTTGTGCTGCTTCAACAACCGCGCCCGCCTGGGCGTCGTACTCCGCCTTGTCGACGTGCAACGCCACCTCCTCCCTCATGGCTCTCAAGGCCCTCTCCTGCTTGTGCTCCTCGGTGAGAGGGGCGCCGTCCTTGTCGTCGTCGGCGCCCGCGAAGACGGCCACGAACGTGTACCTGAGCATGTCGGGCTCCGGCGGGAAGCCGTGGCCACATAGGGAGCGCGGGCGAAGATGGTATTCACAATTGCGGTATTCACAACTGCGTATGGTTGGGTCATTCGCCAGGCTAATTTTATGTCCTTGTATATATTCAGATACGATGTCTATATGTATGCCGTATGCTGTATGTACTTGTAGCTTATCATATACATATGCATAAGCGCAAGTGCATTATTAGGCATGGTACGCATACATGCACACATACATGGTTTCACATACTCCTACATGCTTGCACATCTATATGTAAACGTATGCATATTTGTGTATGTGTTCTTGTACGAATGTATCTATGCATGCATTCCATATGTACATGCTTGTAGGTATGTATGCATGCATGCATGTGTGCATGTATCTATGCATGTGCGCATGGCTACACATATATGTATACATGCATGCATACATGTATGTATGTGTGCAGGTATATCTGCATGGATGTATGCATACATGTAGCTATGTATGTACGTGTGTATGCATGGATGAATGCATGTCTGCAAGTAGGCATGCACGCATGCATGTATGCATATATTTCTCTTCCTATTTTTTTACAAGCCCGGGCGGGGGGACCCCCTCCCCCCAAAACCGGACTCTCGGGATCTGGGGCTTTGGGACCCTCCGGACGGGCCTCGAAGCGGCCCCCCGGGCCTCGCAGGGCATTTTGCCAAGCCTTCCCAGCACACCTAGGGCGATCAGGGGGGTCATCGGAGACGTCCCAGAGACCCCCAAGACAGCACAAGAGCGCGCCAAGAGTGACCGACGTGACCTCAAGATGGCCCAAGAGGCCTCCAGGACGGCCCCAAGGCTTCAAAAAGCTTCCAAGAGCACTCCCAAGAAGGCCCCAAGAGGCACAAATCATTGACTTTCTGCGGGTTTTTGGTGAATTTTGGGGTTCTCCTCTTTTCGGCTCCCCGACGCTCCAATACGGCAGTCTTCTGGGCGTCAGAAGCCGCCTGGGAGGCTCCAAAATCGCCCCACAACCAGCCGAAAGGGCTTCCAGGCAGTCCAAGAGAGCCCCGAAACGGCACAACAGGGGTCAAATATGGCCGTAAGAGAGCACCATGGCGGCCCAAGACGGCCCCAAGACACCTTCCGAAGCATTCCAAATCGTGACCCGGTCGTTCAGGGAGACCGCGGTTGGAGGCAGGGTGGCCCGAGGAAGCCCCCAGAACCTCCAGAACACGCCCAGGAGGCCTCCAGAATGCTTTAAGAAAGTCTGAAAGTTTTGTGAGGCCCCCAAAGGCTCTCAAAGGAGGAGTCTCCGCAAAAAGAGCTGAGGAGGATAAGGGAAAACGCGCAGGGTATGGCGAGAACGAGGAAAAATAAGCATGGAGGAAGGATAATGAATACGAATAACCTAATTTTAGCGGCGATGCTTGAAAAGGCAACAAGGAGTTATTGCTAAATTGTCGGCTTGACCTTCCTGCCATTCCGCCTGCATACCAAACTTCAAGGACCAAGGTGCATGGCGCGAAGTGCCACTGCAGTCTTGAATATATATATATATATATATATATATATATATATATATATATGTATGTGCGTCCGTCTGTGTGTATGCATGCATGTAGGTGTATATACACATCTCTATGTGTGTATGTATGCATGTGCATGTACATATATATATATATATGTATATTTTCCTGTACGTATGTATGTATGTATGCATGTATGTATGTATGTATGCATACATGTATGTATGTATGTATGTATGTATGTATGTATGTATGTATGTATGTGTGTGTATGTATGTATGTGTGTGTATGTATGTATGTATGTATGTATGTATGTATGTATGTATGTATGTATGTGTATGTCTGTTTGTCTGTCTGTCTGCCTGCCTGTCTGTCTGTATGTCTGTCTGTATGTATGTATGTATGTATGTATGTGTGTGTACATGTACGTATGTCGACACGTGTGCATGTATGTAGGTTTGCATGAGTTTATGTAGGCATGTATACATGTATGTCTGCATTTACGTATATATATACATATGTATGACTATTTGTATGTATGTTTGCATTCATGCATGCATGCATGACTCTACCTGCATGTATGTATGCATGCATATGTGTACACACATATATATATATATATACATGCATGCATGTATGGTTTCGTTCGCTTATGCATACTTAATTTACGTGTATATGCATGCATGCATGCATGCGCACACACACATATATACATGTATATACACATATGTATACATTTATGTGGTAGCCCCCAAGTGACCCCTCTTCACCTATGCAAATGAGGACTATGACAACGAAGACGACGAGAAGGATGATATGTACGGGTAATGATGAATGACAGGAACATCACGGCGGAAGCTCTCACCTGAGAGGCCTTCAGGGTCCATGGTAATTGGACTCCAAACGACATCCGATCATAATCCAGTTGTATTCCTCTGTATCTGTGATCTCCTCTGGTCCACGTGGGATCCAATTTTAATCTAATTGGGGTTCTCTAGATCTGGGACTTGATCTAGTCTGATTGGGATCTAATTAGAGTCTAATTGGGATCAACCTGGACGCCTCCGGCCTGGGAGGTTACCAGATAACCCAAACAGGAGGAGGCTTCCGCCTAAGAGATCCTCAGCAAACCCAAACAGGAGGAGGCTCCCGCCTGAGAGGTCCCCAAACTATTCAAACAGGAGGAGGCTCCCACCAGAGAGGTCCCCCAAAAAACCCAAACAGGAGGAGGCTCACGCTTGAGAGGTCCCAGAAAAATCCAAACAGGAGGAGGCTCCCGCTTGAGAGGTCCCCTAAACACCCAAATAGGTGGAGGCTCCCGATTACGAGGTCAGAAATAGCCCAAATAGGAGGAGGCTCCCGCCTGAGATGCCCCAACAAAACCCAAACAGGGGGAGGCTCCCGCCTGAGAGGCCCCCATAAGGAGATCAGCCGAAGGCCTCAGTGGCAGGGTCCCCATGGCGGCACTGCCCCATTTTGGTGCACCCTTTACACGGTTCGTGGCCCCATATTGGTCTCAGCCGAAGGCCCCAGTGGCAGAGTCCAAATGGCGGCGCCGCACTCTTTTTTTGGCACACCCCTCACACGGTTCGTGGCCCCGTAGGGAGCTCCACCGAAGGCCTCAGTGGCGGGGTTCGCATGGCGGTGCCGCTCCATTTTGGCGCACCCCTGACACGATTCGTGGCCCCATAGGGGGCTCCACCGAAAGCGGTGCTACACCACGGTATTCACATTTGCATATGGTTGGGTCGTTCGCAGGGGTCATTTTTTGGACATCTCAAGCGGGAGCCTCCTCCCGTTTGTTTTTTTTGTGGACTTCTCAGGCGGGAGCCTCTTGCTGTGTGGGTTTTTGGGGGGCCTCTCAGGCGGGAGGCTTCCAAATAGATCCCAATTGGATTTCAATTCGATCACAAGTCGAATGGACCATACTCCAGATCTGGATAACCCCAGTTAGATTCCAATTCGATTCTGACTG